ACGAGCTCCGAGCCAGCTCCCATGTCAGAGGATGAAGAGAGCACATCCAGTTAGTCACAGTCAGAGAAACAGGACTACACTGAAAAACAGGCCAATCTCAAACATCTATAAACAAAGGTGTTGATGGCAGCAGCACAGCTAAGATTTCTTTCTTGGATGGAGTCACAGCCAAACAGGAACAGACCAGATGAAGCTACTATGAGAAAATTTCTTTTTGTTTTACACTTGTGTAAACAAAATTACCAATAAAATGTGTCTAAAAAGTCTACAGTCTAAAAAGCAGAGAGAGTTGAAGGTTCGAGATTGAACTAGGATTCTGCAGAGTGGGAGAATAGAGACAGAATGAAGCTTTGAAGAAGAAAATGGGGTCCTTATGTCTTCCAGCAGTCTAGGCCTATAGCAGCATAACTATAGAGCTTTGGGGAGCAGTTGGCTGCCATTGTGCGACGCCAGGGGAGCAGTGTGGGGTTAAGGGTCTTGCTCAGGGACCCAGAGTGAGGAAAAGGATTCAGGCACAATGCCCTAGCCACTGGGCCACCGATCCCATCAGCATTTTACCTTCATCTGCTTCTAATCCAGGGAAATCTTTCACTGTTTGCTGTCTGGTTATTTATCAATTCAAAGAAAAAAAATCAACAAATGAATTAATTAGTAAACAAATGGTCATCTGCAGCCCTGTTCCAAACCGTGTAAAGACCCAGAAACAAAGCAGAAGGATCGGGGGGAATGTGGGGAGGAGGATCCCTGAAGCGTGACGCTGACATCACCACATGTTACAGTAGGCTTTGCGTCTAGGGAGGAACATGCAGGGATTTGCATGTAGGTCACCTTCTTCCACCTGCTTTGCTGCCTCCTACATGCGTTCTGGGATGTAGAGGAGCAGTAAGGCGGTTCCTTTTCTTCATTTTCCCTCCCTGGTTTGTCAGTCAGCTGGATGGCCCAGTCTGAGCTGTACTCTCTCCTTTTTGCACTGATGACTGGTTGAACGGAGCTCTGTGAGGTGATCAATATTCTCTAAACTCAGCCTGCTTTCAACCTCTGCATGAACGCCTCCCACTCTGTTAGCTTGTTTTCTCTGATGTTCAAACCGCTGGTTGGAATCACACGCTGGTGGACTTTATTTTGGCAAAGAAAATAAAATGCAATTAAAAGATTTTTCTTGTATTTAAGGAAAATATAAAAAAAAAGCTCAAGTAGTGTGAATACTTTCTCAATAAACTTTATTCCTTTAGCGCACTCTGGCAATAAATTGCTAAAAATAAACTTTAGACCTTTTTATTCCCATATTATGTGAAGTCGTTGATCTTCTCCTGATGCTTTGAATGAAGAGCTCAGATGCTGCAGATCAGTTTCACAGACTAATGTTTGTTTATGTTGACGTCAAAACGGAAGCTTAATAAGTGCATTATGGATTTATTTGAGAAGTTTGAACATTTCTTCACAAAGTTAGTCAAATAAATTGTTTTAACTCATTACATTTTCACCAAAGGAAGAAAAGTTCTACTTTTTTCTCTGAATTCACTATGTTGTATAAAAAAAAAAAGAGGGGGAAAAACCGCACACCATGCTGGAAAACAAGCGCCTCCATGATCCGAGTCCAGTTAAAGTTTCTGCTAAATATACTGAAAGAGAAACCAGTAAGATGTCCCATTTAGTGTTGATTTGAAAGGCACCGATGCTCAGTGTGTGTTGTTGCAGACTGAGACGATCTAAAGTGTTTCTCAGTGACTCACCTTTCTGTTGTGGATTTATGTGTTTTTATACAACAAAGGAATTCAACAATATTCATCATTTTCTCTGTTTTCTTTGTTTAGCTTCTTTTGGTCTCATATTTGTCATGAACAAAGTTCCCTTTCATTATTTAAGCCCCGGCTTTATTTTTTTAAGCAAAGCGACTAAAATCCATCATTTCCTAATTAGAGGATGAGAATAATAATTAGAATAAATGACAGTTTTGGAGACGAGATGGAGCATTCAATTGTTGTGTAATAAATGATCTTTTTCTGGAGGAAGACTAAAATCTTCACAGAAAATCAGCTTTAATTGGGACCTTTAATACAAACATCTAGCATATCAAAGAGCTCATTGTTTGGCATTGCTTCTTTTCTGTAGCAACTCACATTTCTTTAGCAGATAATAATTTACTTTAATTCAATTCAGTTTATCTCTATAGAACCAATTCACATCATGTCATCTCAAGGCAC